GTGAAAAGCAGTGTTATCAGATTTAAACCAATCATATACAGTACATTACCCAGAAGTAGATGCCTGAGTCTATATTGCCAAGTGTTAGGGAATTTTGTCTGCAACTACTGTACACAAACAGGCTCAGCATTGTGGTGTGGTAGAACTGATTTTGAGGGTCAGTATGTAGGTACAGTACTACAGTTTAGTCACATAATAATGAAAGTTAATAAGGGTGAAAAGACTGAAATTTATGAATTTTGTTAACATGCAAAATAAATTAAGCAGTGAAACATGGAAAAAAATGGATTAGTGGATAAAGTACTGTAATACCTAGCAAAATATCCAGACAGTGCAATATGCTTATCACTTTCGAAAGAAGTATACAGACAGATTCAGAAATGCAATATGGGATACCAAGCATTTGTTTCTAATTATTATACAGTACAGTATTTGGATTTCCCTTTTCATAAAATTCTGAAAAAGCTGCTAGTCATTTTCACATTAAATCTAGAATTTGTATCTGATCCTGAAATAATATTTTCTAGCATAACCTATACCGTAACCATGCAGCATTCATTATTGAACTAACCTTACTTGGGTTAGGGACCACCATGCCTTATCCACACAGCAGCAAATGACTGATCCTTCTATTATCCATTCCTCTTTGTCTTCCTCAGAAGAGATATGTTAGATACAAAGGTGCTATCTATGGGCAGGAGGTCTAATTAAAGAAATTACCTACTGTACTTAGTAAATGCTTCCCTTGTCATTAAGGGTTGGGAGTCATGGAGTATTGAATACTGTACTGTACTGCATTTGATCCAGTGAATATAATCAATCAAGAGAGGAAGGAGGGTGCTTTAGCAGTCTAACTAAATGCTTTACTGGAAATGGAGGACTGATGCTATAATCACTTTTTCTAGCGGTGCCCAAAGCCAACAACTTTCATAATACAAGGAATCTTATGAAGAAGTGTTATATCACTTGAGATTAGTCCCCCAACAATACTATCACAAGGTTAACCTGTTAATTCAGTTGGGATATACCATTTAAACACTCCCCCACCTTTATACGGCCAGTCTTAAATGAGTGGCTCATTACAGTGTTGCCCAAAGGCTGAAGGTCTCCCTGAAACTTTAGTTGTGCAGTATAATCAATACCTAACATACCTTAACACCTATGATTCCAAACAAATCCAAATGACTCTGAGTTAAATGAACTGTTTTCACTTTCAGTTCTAACTGATCTGTCAAAAAAAACCAAGAGAGAAATTTTTTCTTTGGAGCCACCTGGTTCAGGCTTCTCCAGAAAAAGATTTCAGAAGCAATCATCCATTTCTGAATTTCTGGTTATTGTATTGTCCTTTAACCATAATGCTTTCATAAAAAATGCCAACTGAAACAAAAGTGAAGAGGAGGTGCTACAAAAGCTTTGGGACAAGGCAGCCAAATACCCTATTTCAAGTACGTACTGATTGATTATATTCACTGGAACAAGTACAGTACAGTACAGTACAGTATTCAATACTCCATAACTCCCAACCCTTATATGATGACCATCATCAGTGGAAGTTAGCTGTAAGTATGGCAGCCATCATCAGTGAAAGTTAGCTGTAAGGATGACAGCCATCATCAGTAGAAGTTTCATGTTTCCAGTACTCCATTTGTGTTATAGGTTTATGCATAGTCAAGAAATGTCCTAGACACCACTTCCATCAGGCTGACCCAACCACAGTGTACCATTAGTAATTAAAAGAGATGGACATGTTTCAGCATCTAATGCTGGTGAAGGTTTGGGGGCATTCTCCCACACCTTCCCATAACATTAACTCCTAAAAAGTGGATGCCATGTTGTTTGATAGTGGCGATAATGGCAGTGAAGAATATTCAGAGGTAGAGGATGAATCTGAAGTGGTAAATTAGAAAACAAGGAGTCTTTACAGTGTCTGGATAAATTTACATAATATTGTACTGTATTGTAAAAAAAAAAAAAAAAGAGCCCATAGGGGGATGCGTAGCTGCCAGTTAAGGGTTAACCAACATATCTGGTGTTATCAGGAACTCAGCCAAATGCAATAATCAACCACAATCTGAAGACCAAATTAATAGTGGACATACTGTATGTCCTTTCATGGATGATTCAGTGAAATAAACATAAGAACTTAACCATGTACATACCATACAAGCCAGAAAAAAAGGTAGGAACTATTAAATAAACAAATGAGAAAATAGAGGTGCCTAAGAAGGTTGCGTACTAACAAAAACCTCTCTTCAGTGACCCACCATTCAACTACACATTAACCCGAAACCTATGAAACACCTTGGGAATTTAAGTCCCCCCAAAAAATTTTTAACATGAAATGGAAGGAGGAAAATAGAAAGTTGTCTTCTATTGAACTTCTAGGACCTAGGTTTAAACCTGAAATGAATAAGAAGAGGAAGAGGCTCTGCAAAAAATTATATGAGGAAATTAACCCAAGCAAAATTGGATGCCACATACCTGACAGGTCATAATGATTAATAAGAGTATAGTACATTCAAACTAATAAGGCCATAATGAGTAATAAGGATACATCATACCCAAATATTTAATTACCTTTGCATAAGACATATCACTGTTGCCATAAACTCCTCCAACTCTGATGCTGGATACTTAGGCTATGCATCACTCATTCACAGTCAGGTTAACAATGTGCTCAAGGTATACCTCTACCCTTAGAACAGGAAGTGAACATTTATCTACCTAACTTCATGGAATTGGATCCATTTGAAAGAACCACACAGTGGTCAGTCAAAGAACATGGACTTGAGACTATTTGTTCTGCCAGTGAGCAAGTTCCTGATTGTGTCTTCCTGAAGAAAAGATGTAAACACTGGTATTGATGGGTGCCTGATACAACCAACCACTCTACTGAAGGATTTTGAAAGTGGTAATCTTAGTAAGTGCTCTACCTTATCCTTGTGTAACTCACCCACTAAACAATTTAAAAGTCCAGCAAAATATCTTATCTCCTACAGCCACATAAGTACTATCACTATATTATTATAGGGATAAAGATCTTGAGGAGCCCTGTTGAATACATGTGATAGTTAACCCTTAAGCCCCGGGTTAGGGTGCTGCTGGCAGTACTTCAGCGTGGGGATAAATCGAGAAAAAATACATTTTTCCAATAATAATAAAAAAATAAAAGTGGCGGGAATAGGCGGACGTTCTGGAACGTCACCCGGGGCCTACGGGTTAATGTACTACCAATTACAAGCAATGTGTCCCAATAACTTGTTAATTTACAAGCTGGGTAAAGAAAAGAGAAATAAGAAGTTCATACAGACAAAAATGGAAGTTTTACAATCCAAGGGGCCATTACTTTCAACTTTATTTTGTGAAATAATACCCTCAGCCCATGTAAGTGGCATGTTGCTACAATTAAATTATTACACAGTTGAGTACAAATCTGCACAGCCAAATTGTGCCCTCCCTAAAATCCTCAATCATATGAAAGAAGAACAATAATCTGCAGATAATTTTTTCTTAAATGCCCATTTTTTTTTATACTGTTCCAAAATAAGCTCTATCAGACTCCTAAAATAACACCCAGCTCTATGGGCAGAGTTTTAGGTATAGTATCACACTCCTATTGTCCTCACACAAGGTTCTCAACAAGTCAGACTGATTACCATGAATACCTACAAAGTAACTTAAAGAAGATTATCTTGCCATCATAAACAAATCCACCAAAGAAATGGCATGAAGACAGCAAATCTAAGAATAGGACTCGCCACGTAATGTCCATTTCATTTGGAATGTAACACCTTACCCTTCATTAGAGCATCCACTCAAACAGTTAAGGTTCCAGTACTGTAGTAAGCATCACAATGATGGAACGGGAAAGCTCATACAGTACTCCACATAAAACACATCCTTACAAATAGACCAAAAGGGAAACATTTTGATAATCCCAGCTTTAAATACAGCCACAGATATTTTATCAATGCTGTATTGAACAAAATACTCTATTATTCACCTTTTGGTTGCAATGCTTAGCTCAAGTCAAGAAAACATCATTCCTAGTCGCTGCAAAATTTAACCAGAGTCCCAAGCCATCAAAAACATTTTGAACACCCCAACTCTCAAAATGACTGCAGGCAGTAAATGCTGTCATCTCCCAGTAAGCTGAACTCCACCAGTTAGAAATGTAACAGTCTGAAGCTGGGTATTGAGGGTATTGGTGAGATTTTCATAGAAGTTGGCTGAGATGGTTTGGGTATGGGTATATGGATCAAGAGAGAACAATTGGATCAAGAGATGTAAGAGTTTGTAAGTGGAGAGGAGAGCTCGGATAAGTTGTGAGAAATTAACTCAAAAACAGAGGCTGCAAGAAACTGTGTGCCTAGGAGAGCTGCCATCAGGTAATCATGGGTAACCCAAAGAAGCATGGAAAATGGCTGTAAAGTAATGATATAATGATTGTTGGTGATGATGAAACCACAAGGATGACTATACTGTAGTAATAATAAAACCTGAACTACAATAGGTACAATTAATTTTTAATTAAGTCCTTACTTACTGCCCTCATGATAATTATAATTAAAAGCTGACATTATCAATTTCATGCAATTAGATGCTTCAGTGGTCAAGGTCTTCAAGCCACATTATTTAAGCTTAATTTTGACTAAGTCAGTTCACACATTAACTCTTTATGGAGTAGTGCTGCACTTAGGTATTTACTCTGGCTCTCGCCAGACAATTTTATACAGTGGAGAGAAACCCCTGCCACTTAATGGGTTAACTAAGTAAGTATAGGCATAATGAGAGAGAAGGAAGGATGAAATGAAGAGAATAATAGAAGTGAGAATATGAGCATCCAGGAAGCAGCAGAGAATGACATTTATGGCATGTGGAGAAGTTACAGTACAGTAGTAGAGTGAGCAGATAAAGGCAGGCATAAAGGGAATCTGTTTTAACTAATGTCTGGACACCCTGAAACTTGGTGGAATGAGGTTTGCAATAACACAAAAGAAAAACCTTAAAAAATCAATAATTTAGCAATTCTTAAAAAATCATACTGCTATCTGACACACAATTCTAGATTTATCACAAAATAAAAAGTTTCCTTATGATGTCTAGTAATTTGTGTAAAAAAAAAAAATGCTCAAAATCTTCACATCTTTGTGACAAATTGGAGTCTGTAAACTATACCACAATATATATGAAGCCTTAACTGCTACAATCAAAGTATACTGTACCACAGATGGACAAGACTTAAAGAGAGAGCAGAGAAGAGACAATGAGCCATGATACCCATTTTATATAACTAACATTTTTAATTTTTTTTAACTATTAAACAATAATAACAGTGATTAGACTCACAAGCAAGTGTTTCCGACCTGTAAAGTATGGAACAGTTTACTTTTACCTTTACTTTTAGCCCACAACATTGGGATGCTTAGCAAAAGGAGAGAATAAATACCTATCTATACAGGTATGTCATTAAAATATGAAATGCCAAGGTAAAACACTGATTGGGTAGTTCATTTATGTTTACATTTTTTATTTTCATTTGCCATCATGTTCACTGTTTATAGCACTCAAACATAGGTTGCATGAACTCTGACATCAAGTACCTTCCATCATGTTATAATTTATGCTTGTTTGCCAGGTATCCTACGTCTATTGTGTAATTTATCCCTTACATTTATAAATTCACCATCCATACAAACACCAACTTTTTCTATTAGGATGTACAGTACAGTAAAACCCCCATAATTCGAAATAATACGGGCTCTAACCCTTAAGAATTATAAGATTTTACAAAATATGAGGGATACCTTCTCCTGAGGAAAAAAAACAACAACAGTACTGTTCAGTTATCTGACCCAATCAAAATTAAAACATTTCTAAGTACAGTACCAAATTTAGGGTTATCAGACATAATAGTTCAAACACTGGGCAATGATGGAAAGACAAGAGTAAAAAACTTGCACAGTAGACTGTAGATGTACTACACTCTACAACTGACCAACTTGAACTGATGCTACTGACTGTGACCAACACAAGTGATGCAGTTACTGGAGTACAGTACTTGTTTACAGTGAAGCGGGCGGTCGCATCCCATGGCTGCATGGCAACATGTCCATCATATTCGTAAATGTCTCTCATATCCGAAATTTTACCAAATATTATATTATGAAAATTGTAATACAAGATGTATATATATCATAATATTTTGAAATGTCTCTCATATTTTGAAAATTTACCAAATATTGTATTACAAAATTTGTAATATATATTTTGTAATAGGAAAACATTATGAATTATGAGTGAGTTCGAATTTGAGGGATACGAATTATAGTTTTTTACTGCACAGTAATGCCATTACAATAATGATCATCATGGTCATCATAATTGTCATCATTGTTATCACTGTCAGTGTTATCATCTCAGCATCATTGTTACTGCATCCTCTAGTACACATCATAAATGCATTTATAAACTGTTCTTTAATTCCTTATTATAATTATTATTATTTGTTTTGTGTTTTAGGGTAATTTTCATATAATATTTGTTGATATATTTAGATATACGTATGTATATCAAGGTAACTTCATGAAAAGGTTAGGTTTACATAAGATATATTTATAGATTTAGTAATTAGAGTCATCTGTAGAATGAGTCCCCAGAAGTTATTCTAAGGTCATTCATTTAATAGGAAAAGTACTGTACCCATACTATACTGAATATTCAAAATGTAGGAACCATTAACATACAGTAGTTGTACAATTGTACAACAGATACCCATAAAACAGTTCCACTGAACATGCCATCTAAAAAGTGATTACTGTACATTTTGTATTGTTGGACAAAATCCTTACATTAGACAGTCAAATCTTCACATATAGAAATATACCATAACCCCTCATCCTTTCCTGCTTGAAGTTATCTTAGAAAAGCAAAATATTTTTTGTTTTCTTAAATTAGCAACACTCAAAAAATAATTACATGAAAAGTTGTTTGCCTTCCTTCAATAGTAGTACTAACAAACTACACAATGAATAATGTTATATACAATATCACAAAAAAATCCATATTTTCATCTCATTAGAAATCAGGTTGACTTTGTAAAACAGAAACTTTAAAGACTCAAGTAAATAAATTTTTGGTACCTTACTTTGTCTTAAATATTTGAGTGAGACTCAAACACATACTGAAAGAATCACACTTACTATCATACAGAGTTAAGTACGAATTCTTGCTAATTTATGGTACCCATTTCTCTGTTTATCTCCTTTATGCTTCATTTTCCTAGAGTCAAAAAGAATTTCTGCATCACTGTCACTTTCTGAGGCTGAATCAAGAAGGCTGCCAGGAGGTCGACTCTTCACTGAATATGGGAAAAAAATAGCTTTTTAATAATACTGTACTGTATTAGTTTAAAATAATTTGCCATTACAGTATTGGGAATAAGCCAATGCTGAAGAAGTGAATAAGCAGGATTAAACAAAATACAGGTGCTCCTCTACTTACCAACTTTCAGAGATAAAAACATCATCGTTGAGGGGCTTACCTGCCAGAGCAGGTGTTTAATGAAGATAAGACTGGGTTATATACTGTATAGTTAGAAAATGCCTGATAGAACAAACACTGCCAAAGTGAAGAAGTGAATGTCAGGTTTTAAGGCTGCAATGTACACCCTTTACTTTTTAATTTTTTACAATACTGTATTGGCAATGGCCATTATACGATGGGGTTAGAGACCTCAAAAGCAACTGATAAATGATCGATCATACATCGATATTAATAACTTATGGCGAAAAAAAGGTTCCACTCCTGAGCCCATGAAGAGCCCAAACAAGTTTTATATCCTGCTGTTACAATGATTAATTAATTTTTAAATAACTCAAATAATTTATAAATAAACAAATTTAATAAATTTATACCAGATAAAGGCATTAAAACAATAAATTTATATAAAATAAAGATTTATTTTCATTTACCTTACATGATATACCGATCCATGGCGATTGTTATCGACGGATCGATCACTCGCTCTTTCTCTACCAATAATGGTGTCCCACAGGGTTCTGTTCTTTCACCTACTCTCTTCCTTCTTTTTATAAATGACTTACTTCACACTACGACTACAGCTAGACCCCGACTTAAGACTACGTGGACTTACGTCCATTGGTACTTACGGCCTGCTTTGACTGTACGTCCATACGGGACATACGACTGCGACCGTCGTGACCAAAAATTTTTTTCAAATGACGCGCGCATTTTCTGCACCAAAACGTTTCCGTCCGGGACAAGTGGGTGGCGCGTCTCGGGTCGCCTCGTGGGTACACTCACTCAGTGGAGCGCTTTGTTTGTGTTTGGCTATCGTATCCTATACTGATCGCGCTGTGAACTTTCGTTATTATCGTATTTAATTGACTTTATAATGACTGGAAAGCGTAAAAGTGAGAGTGCTGGTGGCGCTCCAAGGAAAAGGAGACAGGCAATTACTTTTGAGATGAAACTGAAGATAATAACACAGTATGAGAATGGAAAAACAGTAGCAACAATCTCACGCGACCTAGGTTTCTCACACTCGACTATATCCACTATTCTGAAGGACAAGGAACAACACCTATAAAGGGAACTATAATATCAAAGAAAAGACAAGGTCCTATCCACGATATGGAAAAATTATTGGTGATATGGATAGAAGACCAGATACAGAAGCGTGTACCCTTAAGCGTTCTAACCATACAGGCTAAAGCAAGAAGCCTGTTCCAAAGCCTGAAGGAGCAGGCAGGAGATGAATGTGATCAAACCTTTACAGGAAGTCATGGGTGGTTTGATAGATTTAAGAAACGCTACAGTCCACACAATGTTAAGGTGAGTGGAGAGGCAGCTAGTGCCGATGTTGGTGCTCCCGAAGCTTTTAAGGAGGAGTTAGATGATGTGATTGTGGAAGGGAATTATTTGCCTGAGCAAATATTCAATGTGGATGAGACTGGATTATTGTGGAAACGCATGCCTGAGCGGACATACATCCACAAAGAGGCAAAAACAATGCCCGGATTCAAGGCATTCAAGGACAGAATTACACTTCTGTTGGGGGGGGAATGTTGCTGGTTTCAAGTTAAAGCCCTTCATCATCTATCATTCAGAGAACCCCAGGGATTTTAAACATGTCAGCAAGCACACACTGCCAGTGTTTTATCGCAGTAACAAGAGAGCCTGGATGACCCTAGTACTGTTTGAGGATTGGTTCATGACTTGTTTCATTCTACGAGCCAAGGAGTACTGTCTGCAACAAAGGATTCCATTCAAGATTTTACTGATTTTGGATAATGCTCCGGGACACCCACCACACCTGGACGACATGCACCCTGATGTTAAGGTAGTGTACATTCCACCTAACACTACCTCTATCATCCAACCCATGGATCAAGGTGCTATTGCTGCCTTTAAAGCGTATTATTTACGCACGACCTTCACTCAGGCTGTTGCTGCTACTGAAGGTGAGAAAACGCTCAGACAGTTTTGGAAGGAGTACAACATTTTGTCATGTTTAAAGAACATTAGTACAGCATGGGATCAGGTTACAAAACATTGCATGAATGGAATATGGAAGAAAATCCTGAAAAGATATGTGAACAGTTTCAAAGGATTTAATGAAAATGAAGTTATTTTGGATATTACTAACAAGATAGTGGAGTTAGGTAAAGAGCTGGAGTTAGAAATTGATACTGAAGATGTTGGACAGTTGGTTGAAAGTGTAGCAGAAGAGCTCAGTAACGAGGATCTTATTGAACTAGATGCACAGAAAATTGCAGAGGAAGAAGAGAGACAAAATGTAGAAGAAGAGCCTGCACCCCCCAAAAAGTTTTCAGTGAAACATATGGCAGAGGCATTTGCTACAATTAATAAAGCAATGCAAATGTTTGATGACATGGATCAAAATTATGAGCGTTATGCCAAAGTTGACAGAATGATCCAAGATGCACTTGCTTGCTACAGAGAAATTTATAATGAAAAGAAAAAGCAGACTGTGCAGTCTAAATTGGACACCTATTTCAAGAAGTCCCCCAGTACTGGCTCCTCACGCCCCACCAGTGCTGCCTCTTCACTCCCTCAAGATGATCCAATACCTTCAACCAGCAAGTTACCACAGTACATAAACCTGTCTGAAGAAAGCGACATTGATGACCCACCCAGCCCTGTCTCCTCTTCTGCTTCTTCCAATTAATATAGTCTCCATGTATCCTGTAAATAGAAAATTATGGGGGCCCCGTGTGCATTCAGCTGACTACATTTAAGGTAAGTGCTCAGTCACACTGTATCCATTCCTCATTATTTATTACTTTTACTGTACTGTATCCATTCCTCATTATTTTTTACGTTTAGTGTACTGTATTTCATTGTACATTTTTAATTTTTTTTTTTATTTTTTTTTATCTATGTCGGACTTACGACCATGTTGGACTTACGACCTGGATTTGGGTCCCTAACCCCGTCGTGAGTTGGGGTCTAGCTGAAGTTCTATCCATTCTTACGCTGATGATTCTACTCTTCACTCTCCTTCACATTTTCCCCTTCCCTCTAACCCTCAAACTAGATCCGTTTCTAGAGCTGATATCATTTCATCTATCAAATGCGGATCTGTGCAGCATCTCCGAATGGGGAGGTAAAAACGTGATTAAATTCAATATCAATAAAACACCAGTATTTACCAATTACACTTTCCAAATTAGATGATCTCCTTCAATCACATTTCAGGACGCAATCATTCTGCCAAATTCTAAAATAGATATGCTAGGCCTCACCATTTCCCCTAATATGTCATGGAAGCCACACCTCCTCAACATTGCTAAAGATGCCTCCCGAAAGCTGGGAATGCTGTACAGATGCCGTAGCTACTTCACTCCTGAGCAGTTGCTTCAAGTATATAAGGGATTCATTCGTCCTAACTTGGAGTACTGCTCTCATATCTGGGGTGGCTCATTTTTTTGTCCAACTGTTAGATAGGGTGGAATCAAAGGCATTTTGTCTTATTAAGTCTTCTCCTTTAGTTGATAATCTTTCTTCCCTTTCTCTTCGCTGCAATGTTGCTTCAATCTCTCTTTTACAGGTACTTTAACGGGCAACGTTCGGTGAATTTGGCATCCTGTGTACCGCAGGCAAAGCCATGGGCTTGTAACACACGTCTTGCCCGCGGTGCCCACCGTTTCTCTGTGGATGTCGGTCACACTAGAATAACCCGTTATAGTGCATCCTTCTTTCCTCACACAGCCAAACTGTGGAATGCTCTGCCTTCTTCTGTGTTTCCACACTCATACAATCTGTCTCACTTTAAAAAGCTAGTTTTCAGGCATCTTCGTGGTGTAAATTAACATACCCTTTTTCTTTTCTATTTTTAATTTAATTTTACTCTTATTTTTTTGTGCACTAGGCCCTGTTGTGGGTCGATGACCTGTGCTCGGGTGGGTTATTCCCCGTAAAAAAAAAAAAAAAGTTGCAATCCACCATAGCCAGCTGTCACTACAAGTAATTTCAGGTAAATAAACATATTCTTTTTTTTTTACTCTGTAACATGCACACACAATCGTTCATAAAGAATGGGACGCCCCCCCAAAAAAAAAAATAAATACGGCGTAAATAAAAAAATAAAAGAAAAAAGCCTTTTTTCTAAAAAACAGTTTTTGTGATATAGTCCAGAATGCAACGCCTAGCTTATACCTACGTATGTTAATGCCTTGCAATAACTCGCCAGGCCAACATACAGGCAATTAAAACATCTAATAATTACTTAATAAGTAATATTAGGAGGACACGTCGCTACCTGGCATTTAATTGCAATTCTCGAAACCCCCTCCTTCACCCCCCATCACACGCACAGCCACCGTCATCTCTTGCCTTAGAGCGAGCAGTAAACAAAAGTCAACCCTCGAGGGGTGGAGTGGGTTATCGGCATCGCATTCTGGACTATATAACAAAAACTGGTTTTTAGAAAAAACCTGCTTTTTGTTCAATCCAGAATGTGAGGCCTAGCTTGAATACCTGAGCAGGAGGTGGAGAGGGAGGTGACATTGTGTATAAGGCTCCGCTAGCTTAGGTCCAGATTATAATTATAAACTGTTTGGAATATTATCCAATACAGTGGTCCCTCGGTTAACGAACACAATTCGTTCCAGAAGGTTGTTCATTAACCGAAAATTTTGTTAACTGAAACCATTGTTTCAATGGGTTTTGGGTAATTGGTTCCAGCTCACCCAAAATTACATAAAGTAAAAAAAAAAAAAAAATGCAGTAAAGTACACTTACTTTGAGGTGTGTATGTAGAAGGCTCCTGGATGATGATGATGATGTGAATTTGAAGTGGGAGGTGGTGGAGGA